ATCGTGACTGAAAGCCGTGTGTTTTCTAAAAACGAAACTGCCCGTTTGATGCTGGTCGATTAATAATAACGAGACGCGACGCTGCAAAGTGTGCCGCATAAAACCAGACATCTATTAATATCAACGTACGACAGTTGATGAAGAAAATTGTTCATATAAGAAGGCTGGAATGGTTGGCGTGAAATTTAAACAATATTCGATGATCGATTCATGTTCTGGATGTGGGATGGACACGCGCGGGAGCAAAGGCTGGGAACTCGCGGTTGCCGTGGCAGATAAATATTATTGCAACTCTCGAGCGCTCGAACCACTTGATAGTATAAATATATCTCATTGGAGACGAGGGCAAACACGCGAACGCGCCAACGTTGCATTGTTGAATACGCTAAGCAAACAAGATCGAGCCTAGAAGAGTCGTGGTAACTGACAAATTTGCATAATTCCATTAGGCCCACGATACACGCAGCCGTGTGTTCGCCCGTTGCGATTCAACGGTGCGCCTCCATCTAGGATACGGTATCTCGCTTTCGATTCTCTACGATGATCGTCGTACACAGTGCAACAATTATTGCACGGGACAATTGTCGACGCTGTTCCGAGTACTTAATTAGACTATGCAGACTGTTGTTGCTCGATGACACATCTTCATTGGGTTGCTGCACGGATTCTCGTGGATTTCTGCTTGTCAAGTGACTAATATGACGAGTACGTGTAATAGTAAACTGCGTATGATAAAGTAATCAATGTCAAATCTTTTTCTTTTTTCCTGTTTTAATGCACGCTACCGATTAGCAAGTATTAGGGCACCCATTGTGTTCTTGTAGAAAATACTGTCTGATTTAAATTACATTTTATCGTTAAACGTTAGTGTAATATTTTAGTAAAAATATACATATGTACTTGGTTTACTTGGAGATTCTAGAATGAATAATTTTTCTTTAGGTTCTTAATAATTTTGTGATGACTTTTGTGTGTTTAATAATGTTCATATTAAACTCGTAATAACAATGAGACTTGCTTCACATTCAGTAGGCAGATTTTAGTAGATTTCAGTATGCTTCATATTCTGCTCATGGGTTTTTCCTCATAAAGTATCTAATGTACGGATAGTGATAATAATAAAATTATGTTTCAGATAAATTTCCTTTTAATACCATACATAATTAA